TTTATTAATAACGAATTTGTTGACTCGGTTGATGGCAAACGTTTTGAGACCATCAATCCTACAACAGGCCAAGTTATTACTTCCGTAGTAGAAGCATCTGAAAAAGATGTTGATATTGCCGTTGAAGCTGCTACAAGAGCTTTTAATGATGAATGGATTCATGTGAATGGAAAGGAACGTGGAAGATTATTAAATAAACTTGCTGATTTAATTGAGCGTGATGCCGATGAATTAGCTGCTCTTGAAGCTTTAGATAATGGTAAAGCTGTTACAATAGCAAAGTCTGTAGATCTTTCTATGGCAATTGATGTTTATAGATACTTTGCTGGATGGTGTGATAAGATCCATGGCAAGGTAATTGGATTTTATCTTACTAGGTTTTACTTGAATGTCACTTAATTTTAAACATGCAAATCGCTACTTGCTTGGTATTTTATCTATTTAATATCACCCCAACTAAAATTGGTGTGGGTTAAAAGATATGCTTAAAAGTCTGGTTTGAAACTAGTATAACACTAAGCAAGTCTAATCTAAGTTTGAGTGGTAGTTCAACCCAACCAACCCATTAATAGCAAACTCCATATTTTAAACTCTACCCTTGGATTTAAAACGAGATAATCTTATATATATATGCATACATTTTTTTCGTAGGTTATTGAAACCCAAAGTGATAAATTCTGTTACACTCGTCATGAACCAATTGGTGTATGTGGTGCGATTATTCCTTGGAATTTTCCAATTGCTATGCAATCATGGAAATTAGCACCAGCTTTAGCATGCGGTATTTGATGCTTAAACCATTTTTTAATAATTTTAATAATGTGATTAAAGTTGCCTGCTAACAATAATTATTACTTTTTCTTAGGTAATACCATAGTGCTTAAGTCATCTGAATTCACTCCTTTGACTGCCCTAAAAATTGGTGCCTTATTTAAAGAAGCTGGTTTTCCAAAAGGTGTTGTAAATATTCTATCCGGTTTCGGTCCTACAGCTGGTGCTGCTATTGCTAATCATATGAAAATCGATAAAGTCGCTTTCACAGGTAAGATTTAAATTAATTTTTAAGTTAATGATGAAAATTTTATTTAGGGATAATATTTTTTTTTTAAAATTTCTTTTTTAGGATCAACTATTGTAGGAAGATCTATATTAAAAGCATCCGCTGAAAGTAATTTGAAAAAAGTTTCTTTGGAATTAGGTGGAAAATCACCAAATATTATATTT